CAGTTAATATTTTGTTTCAGCTGTCCTCCTAAATTATTTTTTTTTATAACACAGACATTGCTAGGATTCCATCAAAATACATAGCTTCACATAGTCAAAAATCACACAACATGATTAAAAATTTTTGCTTTCTAATTGCTCCATAAAAGCCAAAGTATGAACATTAATCAGAATGCATTTTAAATTCCTCAGAAGACCTCAAAAAAAATACCCTGCCTGCTTAATGTCAGTCATAAACATGTATTATAAACAATAGATAATATAATGTCACTCATAGACATGTATTATAACAATATTACAATCATTTCTGGGGAAAAATACTTTAACATTCCTTTCCTTATGTTTTTAGTTATTTTAGGCTAGCTCTCTATTTAGTCACTACTCTGTGGTACAAAACCCCCATGGAAGTGTGTGATGCATTGTACAAATATTGAAAGCTAGAAGCCCTTATTTCAGGATTCCTCGAGACAGATCCTGATTAGATTTCTACAAATAATATCATCTCTAAGACAAGATTTGGCTTTAGATGCCAGATGTATTTTTGAATTTTCATCTTCTAGCCCTTAAGAACTGCCCTCCTCTAAAAGCAGATTATTTTATACCTTACAAAAGTTTTAAGACAGCAGTTATGGAACAGTTTTTGTGGAGCCACCATCAAAATCACTCTGCTTATGTTATCCCTCTGCAAGACAAAAAATGTAGTTTGCTCATAAAAATTAAGTAGTGCACTGAAATGCACAGTGAGCTAGAAGATAATGTGCAAGACCCCAGGGATGATTTAACTCCTCTGTCAGACACTCAAACAACCCACAGGGCTGGGAGCAGCTGCTACAAAGAGTAAATGTACTCCATGTAGCACAACCATCAACCTGCAGCAAGCCCCTCTTTGTTTCTCCATAAAAGGCAAACCAGAAAACCCCAAAATTTTGAATCCATGGCCAGCTGACGGCACAGCCTTTGCCCACAGGGACCACAGTAGCCCCAGCAGGCACTGACCAAACAACAAAATCTTTGGGCCTGTTTTGCTACTGAAGCAACGAGGTTTTTCCAGGACACTTGGAGCGCTTGTGCAGGTTTTACAAAGCTCTCCAGACCTACAACAAGATGTTCCAATCCAAATATCAGTGAGAAAAATTTCAGCACTATTTAGCACAGAGCTCAGGCAACTCTTCTGTAATGGCCCAAGCACGAGGCTTCACGGCAGCTGACTGATGTATTTGTGGTTTTGTCTAATTATCTTTAGCAAATAAGGGATTTATTTAATTTCACAAGAACATACTGTGAATGGTTGCTAAAACAAAAAGGATAGCAATCCAGTGCCATTTTTTCTTTCTCCTCATCAAATCCATGGCTTCAGCGTGAAAAACAATTTCAACGCAAAAATAACATGGTAGTGATAACAGCAATTTAGAGCCTGGGCAGGGCTAAAATGCTGAGGCACAATCTTGAAATACTATTTTCCTGGCAAGAAAATCTAGAATAATTTCATATTTTAATGTGACAGAATGCCAATGGGACTCAGATAAAGAAGTCTAGGTACCTATAGCACCCAGCAAAGAGCACCATCTCCACTGAGATTTTTACAGACAGTTTCAGAATTACTGTGCAATGGTTGGCATTCTCTACTGCATGCCTGGAGGTTATTTCAGAGACCCATAAGGAATTTATCACTATCTCTAAACTGCATATGTAGGGGTTCTTTAAGCTAATAATAAACATGTATATAGTGAGGGTTAGTGCAGCAGCCTGACACAAGAAAAATTACTTTTCTAGGAAAGATTATGTTCCATAAATTCAGAAGAAAGTTTCACACAGATCAGCTACATTATATTAATAGACAAACACTAATTTATGCACATATCCAGCCACCCAATGAGTATTGTCCCCTTCTACTGGTACATGACAAGAAGAAATCAAGGCATTATGTTCTCATGAGTCTGAGCTTATCTGTGATGCATTGTCAACTCTTCTGACATATACTGAATACATTCCAAGAAAAAGGAAGCAATTAATGACAGCATATTATATAATAGAAATAAAAAACTAATGCACCAAAACACTACTTACATTATCTACTTTTCTTGGAAAAAATAGTTCCAATTAGCTAATGTATTGTATAGGTGAATTTCTGGCTCCACTGAAGTCAATGAGTATTAGAACAAGAATCTCTTTCTGATGTTTTCCTACAAACTCCAAAGCCTGATCTTGCAAATACACAAGATGGATTTAATTTTAGGCAAATGATAGATCAGTTCCATGGATCACCCAAATAGAATTTGCAGAATCAGGCTCTTAAATTCTATTATAGTTACAGATTTATACCCAGTAATGAATATTAATGGATTAAAAAGAACTAATTAAAAGTCACGGTGTATAGAGATTTCTTTGACTTCCATAGGAGTAAGCAAACGTCTACTTCTTTATCCATGGCAATTACAATTTCCTACAGATGCTCAAATTCCCAGGGTAGTTTCATTAGGCTACATTTCTCATACTTCTGCTCTAGATATAAAAAGAAGGCATTGCATAAAGGTCAGTAACCAGTGAATACTTGGGAATTTTAAATTGTATTCCTCTCTGGGAGGCAGAAGAAGGTAAATAGAAGTAAATAGAGACAATTAGAAAACACAAATGTTCTTTGCAAGACAAATTTCAGGATTAACACCAGCTGGCAGAACATTAACATTCATTTTTAAAGCTGATAGCTCTTCATCCTAGAGTGTCTACCTGCAGCATTACAAATTTGATATAAATCAGCTGCTGTGGCTAACTAGTCCTAGTACAGCAGTTTACTCATAACATTTATTTTAGGCTTTCTAATAACATACAAGTTTTCAGAGTCTAAAGATACATTAACTCCTGTATATACAACTTATTTTCCCTAGCACTAAAGAAAATTTGCTTTTAAGGGTTTACACTAAAGAGGAGGTGAAATTCAAGTCACATGACTTGTGGAATTAATCGCCCTGATTTCAGTGTGATCTATGTGAAAGTGAAATAAGTGGTATTTGGCTGAGGTGCAGAAAACCAAGAGTGATACATCCAAATGAACCGCAGGGAATCAAAATGGAATTACTGAAATTACAGTCTGCAATTACTAAAAACACATTATGAAGTTACCACGCTTATGTAAAGAAGCTAATTGTAATTACCAAAATTATATTTAGCCCAGGTATTATCATTAGCATCTTTCATAAACATTTCTGTGAAGGGTTTAATCCTTAGTGATCAAGACCTCAGTGCTCTGCTGGTTACAGAAAACACCTTTTCCAGCAGTAAGATACCCCTTAAATCAAATCTCAGGGTTTGGTTTGGAGTCAGAATGCCACCTTCCAGATTACTAATCTCTGTTCCTACAGCAAATGCCATTTCCCTTTTTAATCTTCAATCAAATGACCCCAGAAACTAATTCCAGCTGGCTTATGAGTCATACTAAGCTTCAATTTCACAAAGATAAGTTGAGTATATTTGATTTTCAGAATATCCAGTCCATTGCTTTTTCATGGTTTTATTTCATAATGACTAATCAGATTCATTTCAGTGTAAAGTGATAAAACCTGCTAAAAATAACACCTCCACTGGTCATACATTCCCAATTCATATGTCATAAACAGCAGTTGTTATATTCACTAATTAGCATGATACATGCTCCTGATTACACTTTTGTTAAACTTAGGTGTCAGCTTTTCCATATGTCCCCTCTGGAGGTCTGTAGTACTTTGGGAAAGCCATCAGCTGCATCATGTTGAATGCATACTTTCTGCATTTGACATTCTTCAGAACATTCTCTATGCGGCATCCTTCTCTAGTGAAAGGGGGAAAAAGTACAACTTCAGGAAACATAGAATAAATAAATATGCTTTATTTGTTCATTGCAGAGTTTCAGCAACAGTTGAAGTAAAAATAACAAGGATTCAACTCTACATTTTTGTTTTCCATGAGTGATGATACATCTTACAGAATTAAATCCAAGGCCAGGCCCAGTACACTTATTGCCCTCAGAAATAGGTGATAAGATTTTCCATCCCCCTAATATATCTGCCCTTGAGGTTTAAAGTTCAGTAAAAAAATTTAATACCTTTAATGATACATTTTGTTCTAATTCCAGAAATATATTTGCCTTTTAAACCTTTTCATACCTTTCTTTTTCAAGTGATTTGCTATATATGTGTGAGTATACATTGCCCTAAAATGCGCATTCTAGGAATAAGGAATTTTATTAAGTCTGGCCCTAGAGATTCGTGAAGGAAAGTTTCATCTCTGCTTCATTTGCTGTATGTTCAGCTTTGCAATGAAAAAAAGAGAGAATGGCTTTTCAAACAGCCCAATCCACCTCTCTGCTTTATAAAGGAAGGATGTTCGTTCACATACAGTACAAAAGTCACAAGTGCCAAAGTGGTGCATCAAGACATAAACAGGACTTTGTTAAAAAGAATATAAAAGTGTACTGAAAGCAAAAGCAACTAAAGCAACAATTACAAACAGGCTAATTTCATTACAAAACAGAACTTAGTATATTCTATTTACTCTACAGAAAAGGGTTAGTTGTAGCAAAGTAATAATAATTTATTAAACGAAAACAATCCCGTCAGCTAGTTACAATGAAAAAACACAACGGAAGGTAAGTCTCACAAACCATTGCCCTGCCATATTTGTCTAGGGGTTAGTTTGTGTTGTGCAAATTTTTATTTTATTTTTTTTTTTTTTGGTCAGACTAATTACTCTGGAAAGAGGGATTCAAGCATTCAGGATTCCACAACTTCTATACAGTGACAGCATTGTAAGTGGGCTTTCTTTGCGCTAATTACAGTGGGAAAGTTTTACCATGAACAGAAAGAGCAAATCAATTCACTCAATGCATAGTATACTTCTCGGAGTTCAGAAAAAAAGAATGAAAACACAGTACATTTCAGACATGGGAATCTTAAAGATGAATCCTTGGGGTCTGAGACTGTAGAAATATTACAACATGATTCTTTTTTCTAGAGTTAGTTCGTTGCTGTTTGTAGAAAAGAAAGGAACACAAGTAAAGTTTATTGATATTTGGCTAATAGCAAAGCAAGACTTAAAATAAGCCACACAACCAGCAGGTGTGAGCTGACAAGCAGCAAGGCGACAGGATAGAAGTGTCGAGCAGTTGGCTTGTTATCAGTTAGACAGCCTGTTTCGGGATCATCCGAGTCAGTCAGTGCTCCCTGGGTCTGTCTGCTGTTAAACAGGGAAGTTAGGAACAGATAGAACAGCATTTCAGCAGCAAAGAAAGCCAACACGCAGGCATTTTGACAAAATGAAAGTACAGAGCCATTTTGAGGAAATAGATTTATCTAAGTACTTCCAGTATAACTTTTGTGTTCTACAGCTGACACAGGAAGCACCATCACTGGGCGGCTACTAGCATACTAATGCTACTAGGTGCCTTGGAGTAGTATTCACAAGTGAACATTAAATCACTTCCACAATGAACTACACCATCACTAAAATCAACACACACACTGAACAGAAATGAAATAAGGAGGTTGAAAAAAAAAGTTAAGGAAGCAAAGAAAAAAAGATCATGAGTACGTCATAATGCAACACTGAACAAATGATGTCTCCATGGTGCTCACAGGCTTTTCAGTCCTGCTTCAGTATCTATTAGGAAGTTTATTGGCAGAAATGAAAAGGCCACACACTAACAGCTATTCTAAAATAGTATTAAATGATGGTAAACTGACTTCAAAAATTCATCACTGCTGGTGACTCAAAGTCCATAGCAGTTCTTTTTATTCAAAGGCTCGCACCTGCATTCCTGTAAGTAAATCACCTTGTATCTTTATCAGTCAACACAGGGAGGAGCTAATCTACTTAGAAGGAAGTTCTACTGAATCACGCTGGATTGTGTGGTCCTTGTCCTACCAGAGCAACAGGGACACTTCCACTGCCAGGCTTGCCTTTTGTATTCTTGACAGATTCTCTGTAAGTACAATTACTCACACTGCAACCACACTTCTTCAATTCCTCTGAAGCTTACTTGCATACACTCAGGAGTCCTGTTTATAGACTTCCTTTGGGCAGCAAGGACTGGCAAGATTTTTTTTTTTTTTCTATTTACTATGAATATCCTGTGATGAAAAGATAACTTGCCATTTTTTAATGTGGACTTGAGAATATCCAAATATATCAGATGACAATGCAGTGCCCTTTCAGAAGGACAGGTCACAAGTATGCTCTTGCTTTCAAGAGAGAAAAAGCTGGCAGACATTATCTTTACTGTCCCACAGCTGCAGGTAAGATGAAGAGGATACTCTGAAAACAGCAGCAGCCACATCACCTTACAGAAAGCCTGCCTTCTGACTCGTGTGTTAAAGGGCAGTGCTACATTTCCTAAGCTTGGATAGCAAGAGAGGTGCAAGAGCTGCGTTTGCAGGTGGAACCCTAGGCAAGGGGGGGTTGATCAAAACCTTTCCTTGCCCAATTTCTCTTTTGAACAAGCCTTCCATAATAAGTTCTTAGTCTTAGTCTTTGCTTTGAACTTCAGTCTGTATGTTACACTAATAAAGGGATCAATACATACTATTTTGAATAGCAAAATAAGAGATAAAAAAATAAAACCCCTGCTATTTTCATCTAGGTCAAAGTAATTGCTGGTGGCAGGGTGTTTGCTGCTTTTGTTCTACAGATCTCAAGTGTCCATGGATGGAACTTGGGCAGAACTGAGACTTTGCTGTAGACATTATCTCAGAAACTATCAAGAAATTAAGCTGATTGCATGGTTTATTGGCCTTGTCAGCACTGAAATAAGTAATTCTGTGTTTCTCTATCAGACTGCTCCAGCTATGCCTCTGTCCTAGGGCCCACCTACAGAACTGCCTTCCTCTTCTGCTCACAGTGACATTACTATTTGTGATCAGCTGGGAGGACTAACTTTATTGTTCCCAGTTAATGTTGTCCTCCATTATGTATTTCTATATACTTTTTAAAGAACCTGCTGCTTGCTGGTTTTCCTTTTCTTTTTTTAATCTCCACAGCATCCCACAGGTTTGTCCCTTTGACCCTGTCCCCTTACTCCCTTCCAACTCCTCAAGGTGAGCCTGCAGGTTTCAGCTTACTCCCCTTATGCCCACAACTCATGAGAAGTCCAGCTCAACCCTCCCAGTCCCATCTCTTCCTTCCCAGTCACAGAGTCCGGGTGATTTTTGTTTGCCCTGCATCCCTTCCATCACAGACATCACGTGTGCTCCTATGCACACACCAAACTTTTTTCTTCTGGAGAAATCCATCTGGGCAGCAGTGAAGTTGAGCATTCAGTAGGGTGCACAGCCACTGCATTAATCAGATTGATTGTTTACACCAATCTGGAGAGCCCTGGCTTTGCACACCAATGGTTCATTCCAAGCAGGCTGAGTCACACACTTGCAGGTTGTTCCTACAGGGATGAACCCTCCTGCTTCTGTGGTGTGCCTTGCTCTGTTGGACTCCACATCTCAACAGTGTCTGGCTTTCATCTGCACTGCTACAAGTCACATTAGCTTCAGTGAGATTTATGCGGGAGTAATGATGGAAATACAGATAAAAGCCATTTGTTCTCTTTTTTTTTTTTTTTTTTCAACAGAAAAGCCTACAGTACATTTGTTCTTTGATATGCTGAAAAGAATGATCGGTGTCTTTTAACATAAAAAGTTTATCTTCCCCCCAGGAAAGCAACCGTGAACAGCTGATGCACAGGCACTCTGTTCCACAAATTAGTCACATCATTCAATGCATGATTCAATAAGATGTCCCCAAAATAGAGCAAGAGGATCCAAGTCCATTATTAGCTTCCTAAGAACAAGCTGAGCAGAATAGCTACGCATGCTTTTAATTGAGGAGGAATATTTGATCAGGGTCAGATGCCTTGCTATAGCGTGTGCCAACATTTCTCAGTGCAGTGCAGTGACAGTGCCTTCCAACACACCCCAAAGTGTCCTCTGCAGTGACTATTGAACAAAGCAAAGACCTACACCCAGCTGTCAGCACCATAACATTGCTTCCCCTGGCTCACCCCACCCTGGAGGAGTTTCACTGCAAACAGCAGAAATCCCACTAGTGCCCTGTCAGCTGGATTCATGTGGCTTCTGACTGACAGCACAACCAGAACAGAGCGCTAAGGGTGCTACATGCTCAGGTGTGAAGGTACAGCCATAGTTTCAGACGTTATCTCCATCACAAATTGAACTTTAACAGCAAAAGGAAGGAAGAAAACTTGAAAAATAACCAGCAAGTTTCTATTTTACAAATAATTTAAACAGAAGTAGTGAAACCACCTAAGTTCGCAACATCTGGAGTCATGAACACCCCACTAACCTATCATACAATTTTTATTCATTTACTCTCAAATTGTTCATTTGAGACCTCCGGCACAGCACAAACACATTGTAGCAGCCAAGGGTTCTGTAAGTTAATGACAATATAACCATTTCAGCCTGCCTTCTATCTCATTTGATGTTTTATCATCCTAAACTCCTGTTAGGAGTTGCTACATGCTTATCAAATGAGGCAAAGGCAAAACAGCAGGTATTTTTTGTTCTTTTCAAATTCAGCTGATAAATTATTTGGACCTCAAAGTAGTGAAGCAGAGATGATGAAAATGGTGTGAGGAAAAAGCCTCTCAAGTCCTTAAGAGAGTCAAGCACACACATGAGGGCACATTCTGGCTTTCGATTCTCAGTCACACTGATGTCCCTGAGCAACGTTTTTGGAGGAGATGATTTTCACATTTTGGGATGTATGCTTCTTTTTTGGAACTTTTCCAGCTACAGTTATTAGAAACGTTGAACTCTTCTACACGATTTCTTCAGGTGGAATAAACAGGCAGCTTTCTATTAACAGGTGTCCCACGTGCTAGTGGTGACTACCGTTTGAATTCATGTCCTACTGCACTTGTACTTTATGGGAATTTCCCTTTTTTTTTTTGTAGACAGATTCAAGCAAGGTTTTTCTGGTCCTGATGTGTTTTTCTTCTTAAACTTCGGTGCTGACACAGAAAATAGCAAAAGTAAGTTGCTTCTCTAGAGTGCCATCTGGTAATAGTAGAGACATTTCTTCAAATAGAAAGGATGGCTAACAGTTCTCAGTCTTACACAATTTTGATAACTTACCTATTCCTTTTATTTCAAGACAGTCAAGTTCATAAGCAGCTTTCAAGAAGCAGCTTCTCTTAAGAAGTTTTTGGAACGAAAGCATCCTAATTTCTACATGATACATGTTACTGGGATTGACTGAAACACTTCAGAGAATAATCACCTGTATCAATGTACAGCACTACAGTTCAAGAAGGCAGCCTTAACTTTTTCAAAGAGAAAATGTGGGATCCTTGTGAACATCTCCTAGCCATTACCAAGCTGCTGCACTAGCACATCTAGAAGAATAAAACATCATGCAGAAGGAAATAAACAGGTATCAGCCTAGTCCTGAAGGATTTCAGTATCAGAGCAGAACTCAGATAAAACATATAAAGGAATATCGGGAAACAAAATTTTATTTTGAAATATGAAGTTGATGCAATAAACCTCCAACAATTTTTAAGAACAAAAAATGGTTCTGCACTGTTTCAAAATGGAAGCTAAGGGAGGGGAATCAGCAGAGACATCTTTTGTATCAATGATCTTTAAAATTATTCTTTTTCTGATACGCATTTAATAACTTAAATTTTTTCCCTCAAATCCACATGGCACTAAATAAAGTAGAAGATGCTAGAAATCAATTTTTGCTGCTTACATGATCCTATAATCTCAGCTCAAAACAACGAGAATTGCTGAAACTGATAAGCAGTCTTAGATCCAAGAATACTGAGAAATTCAGTCAGTGATTTAGGAAGCTGCTATTTAAACATACACAAAAACCCCAGACTGTTTATCAAATCTGTTTTATCAAATTGTCACACTAAACTCCCTCCTCCTGTTTTAACCTTTTGTAATGCAAGTTTTTCCCTACTCTTGTTGCTAGAATAGAAATCCTCTATTTCCCCACTCCTTTCTTTTCTCCTTGCTTGGTTATAACACACGACTTTTCTAATGCAATATTTAGGAAATAGAAAGGAAAGTAGATCATACAATATGAGGCTTGACCACTGAGTTGGACCATGCAGCAGATTCATGGTGCAGTCATGATGATAGGACACCTAGATCTTGAAAATCAGCTATTGTGAAGTAACTGTGGGGTTTGGGCTCAAAACCATTACGGAGTTTCAG